TTAGCTTGATTTTTTAAGCTAAAAATCCCGACTGTACTGTTTCGGAAACTAAAACTTATTCGAAGAATACACCAAAATATAAGTTTTAGGCATTTTACAGCCAATTCTGATCTCACAAAATTCTAAATATACAAAGTGATCGTATGATCTAGACCATCGATTGACACCCCACCGGAGGTTGAGATCACTTGACCCTGATTTAACCTTATAAAAACTAATTAATTTTGACCTGGATACCATTTAAAAACGGAATTAAAAATGGTTTCTATTGCATTTGGGGGCGGATTTACTGGGGGCAGAATACCATTGAGACCGACTTGTGGGGCGGTGATAAAATCAGTTGGGGACTGAATTAATGCAAACCGATTTTGAATATTCTACTGATGCAGTTATGATTTATTAGAGACCTGGAACTGATTCGACAACAAAAATATAGAACATAATACATTTTTAACATGAAATTGCAACTGAACCAAATGAACACACGATATTAATTTTGATAAAAAGATCGGATTTGATTTTGATAGTACTACAAAAATAAACTAAACGAATAAATCGTCATCATTCATGTCATCAATTTGATGACACTGATTTTGGGATGCATTTTATATTTTAAACAAGTTATTAGCTATAATTTTGTCCTTCAGTGTTCTGTGACTTGTTCCGATCGGTGTGGTGACACTATTGCGAATATATTAGCTAAAGAGAACGTTGTGTATAAATATGAACGATGAAATATTTAAAAAATATGAACTGTATCATATTTACAACATGATACAGGTCAGAGGTCAACGCCGACCAATTTATTAGCGGCGCCAATGTTGGATAATTTTTCGGGGGCGCGGCGTGACCTCTGATGCACTTCCTCCGAGTTCCTCCCCCACTACAACTACAACTCTAAACTCTAAAAAAATTAGTTCAGGCTTGAAGAAAAACCAACGACAAATAAGGAGGAAAGAATGGAACTGAGAAAATTTTCTCGGTCATTTTATTTTTATTTTTTCCTACACCTTATTGATGTAGCCCGGTCTCAACGGAATTCTGTAACCATACACCTTATTGGTGGAATCCGTCGCCAACGAGAAAAAGTTGGCCTACACCTTATTGGTGTAGTCCGTCGCTAAGGCGAAAAATTTGGCCTACACCTTATTGGTGTAGTCCGTCGCCAAGAGATCGAAATCGCCCTCCACCTATTGGTGGAATCCGTTTTTAAAAGGTTAATAAATGAGTTTTAGCTTGGTTAGGTTAATTTGCATCAATCATTACAATGTTCATTTTGTCACACTAAAGTATCCAAAACGACAGGTCAAACTTTTCTTATCCTGAATCACAGGTGGAAAACAGTTATGGCGTCATGAATTATGATAGCCGAATAAATGCATGCTAAAAATTCGTAATAATGGGTGGAACAACACCAGCGGATCCAAGTGAAAGGTCTGAAGCTCAACCCATAATGGACGTCAAACGGTGCAAATATCCAATTTCCATTGTATGGACGCCTATCCCACTTCTCACGTAAGATAAGAATATATCTTTGACACTCTTGATGTTACTCTGTAGATGTCTATAAGTGGGCCATATTCACAAACATTTTTATATTATCATCAGTTGGTTATTTCCTATAATTGGGCACATGGGAATTGCCTATACCACCGGAGTTATCCGTGATTTTGCCGGCCATACTACGTCTCCGAAGACGACATGGCGTTCGGCAAACCTACAAAGTACTGGGTTAGTTTACACACTAATCGACTTCATCTTTAATAGCAAAGAAGTCATTTTACTATTGGCTGACTTCTAGGTTCTCAGCACAGAGAAAGTTGTGGGCGGAGGTCAGGCCTGGGACAGAGCCATTTACGAAGCGTCGGAAGAGTACAAGACGAGGATGCACAATTTGTGCTGCGACAACTGCCACTCGCACGTGGCCTACGCCCTTAACCTGATGCGCTATGAAGGCTCCTCTTCCTGGAACATGGTCTGGCTGGCATTAGGAATGGTCCTTCACGGCCGTTATGTCAGTTTTGCAGGGTTCATCAAGACCTGGCTCCCATTCCTCATTATCGTCTCCATCATCCTCATTTTCACCCTAGTCCCATTCTGATCCCTTCCCACGTAATATTTATAGTGTAATATTATTTTACTTATTTTTGCATTTGCAACCAGCCTAATTAATTTATGCTGTCTCAATAAATCATTGTAAAATTTACGGTAGAAATAATGTGCTACAAGCCTACAAATTGTGATGCCATTTATCCACAATGATTTAAATTTTTGGTTGAATAAATGGAACGGGAGAAAGGAAGTGAAAGTTCATTATTTGCAGAAAACCAAGTAACAACCTCTTTTAAACTGATCCTGCTACACATACATGCTTAATATGCCACAAAGGCTAGTTTTCATACCACAATAAGTAACATAGTTATGCAGTTATCGGGGAAAGGGTTATCAGAGTGGGTGAAAGTTGAAGTGGAGAAAGTTGGCCCTGTTAGCATGTGAGAAGAGACGGGCATGGAGAATTCGAGCGGGAGTTGCGACTGCTCACAGCGTCCACATTTCTCATTCTCCGGCCTAATAAAAGTAGACGTTGAGCTGTGATTCATCAAATAATAAATTTGAGTTTGAATAAAGCGTTTTTGGTGAAAAACAATATTCGTAACATGGACGACTTAGCAAGTCTCAAGGTAAGGCTGGAAGTTATCTGTTGAGGAAGTGTGATACGCTAATGAAGAGTCAAAGGCAGATTTGTCAATGTCCGTTCTTTGCACTACTTTTATCTACCGAAATACCGAAAGCTCTCTTTGCTTCGGCAAGATTATAATTTCTCCTAAAAAGGCTCCATCTCCAGCTTTTCATTACTTTTGGGCGTATCTGTAAATTTAAAAAAATAGAAGCAGTTTTTCATTGATTTCTCTTGGAAGTATTTGAAAACTGAATACATTTGTCTGTTTTATACAATTTGCGCAGTTGCCTGAACTGAAGAAAGAGTGCAAGACAAGAGGATTATCTACCAGTGGAAATAAAGCAGATCTTGTAACGAGACTACAAACCGCAATGTCTACTGGTAAAGTGAAAAAATTGTTCTCCTATTTATTTCCTAACTAACTGGGAACTAATTGGTCCATAAATTAGTTAATTCTTCAGTCAATTTTAGCAACTAAGTTAAATTAGTAATTCTTTGTAATCAAATAGAAAAACCACCTTCTGATGACTCGGTTTTGGATGATGCACTTATTGATGAAGATTCCATGCTCGTAAATTATATTTATATTAATAATATTAATTTAATATCCATCATGTGGTTAACAATATGCTTCAATTTCTTCTTGCAATGTGCAATCAAATGAATCTTTTTCATTCTTATGCTTTTTGTTATTTCATTGCTTAATTTATTTGTTCCATTTTAGGACGATGATGATGAGAGTGACGATCTTGCCGATTTAACGACGAATTCGATAGACATAACCTCCCCTACTTCAAAAATTCCTCCAGCTAGTATTTCCAAAGTTGTTGCTGGTTCTCCTACCAAACTTCCAATTTCCCCAGTTAAAACTGTGGAAGCTGTTAAACGACCAGCACCCAGTTCACCATCCAAAACTCAAGCGAATGGTGACTCGGAAGTAAGAAGTCCGGCTGCTAAAAAGAAAATCACAATAAATAGAGAATCAGTTCAAGCTCTCCCAGTTACTGACTCCACGCCCAGTGAAGCAAGCGACGGTGACAAGGATGAAAAGAAAATTGTCAAAGTCGGCGCTGTGTCCCTTACAGCAGAAGAGAAAGCAAGGCTGAGAGCACAAAAGTTTGGAGCAACAGGAGGTGTTTCGTCAACACCTTCTGCAGCAGTCGCAAAGTCGACAGAAGGAAAACCTGCTCCCATAGTTGATGAAAAGCTAAAGAAACGAGCAGAACGCTTCAACAACGGAACAAGTGCGGTGACTTCAAGTGAAAGCAAAGTTGTTTCTGTAATATATGTATATTTACAATGATAATTGTGCCATACTACCTCTCTTGTTATTTTTAGCATATAACTGAATGCATTCATTTTTTCCAGCTTACAACTGAGGACGATGTAAAGTTGGCCAAGAGAAAAGAGCGATTCGGACTAGTTGACGAGTCCGAGAAGAAAGAAACCAGAGCTGCACGGTTTGGGGCTGCAGCTGCAGCAGTTCCACCATCAACAACAGCAACTACTGCAACAAATTCCAGTGACAAGAAGACGCTTCGAGCTGCGAGATTTGCTACTTAAGTATCTACACATACACACACACACACATATAACAACAAAATCGTTTTTTTATGTTCGTACATACATAATGCATGGTTAGTAAGGCTATATGTTTAAATAAGCTTATGCCCAGATCATATTATTCATTAATATTCATGTTGAAAATAATATGATGGTGTCTTAGTTGTTGTTCTACTGTATCCTTGTCGTTTAAGTACTTTATGAATTATATTCGTTTTTGACATGATGATATTTGTGTACTAAATTAATTAGTATTTCTTGCTTGTATCTACTTTAGATATCTATTGATAATAAACATCAGTCATAGAAAATATGTATGAATTTTAAGTAGCAATAGTATGTTGTACTTGTATTTGTGTGACGAATTCTTAACGTTAAATAAACTTTATAGGTGTTTATTATTATTATATACGTTACATCTGTGTAATATTTTTCATTAGAACGACAAAATATAAAGGAGTCTTCTCATATTCATTACATTCATTAATAAAAATGGATTACGCAACAGATTTCAACAGTTGAAAATGATAGGCGTAGGAGCAATTAAACCCATCCAGCAGCCTTGAACTACGCTGCTTAACTGGAAAAATCCCAAGTCGATCCTTCCTTTCGTTTTATTTATTACCATCTCGATTCTCGACAGCAATAAATAATCTAATCCAGTAATTATTTGAGCCACACACAATCATCAGTTCTTGCAATTGAAAAATTAATTCTTAATTAATTGTCTTCAATTCTCGTTAACATGGACGCTCCTTTGATTGAATGCGTTCCAAATTTTTCGGAGGGACAGGACGCGAAGGTTGGGAATTATAATATCTGTCAAAAAATCATATTTTCGTATTTTAACAATCATCAAACCAGGTACTGGATACGATATCAGATGCAATTAAAGCCACGGCTGGAGTTACTTTGCTTGGAGTTGACCCTGGAAAGTCTACGAATCGATCTGTACAATTTAACTATAAAATAGAGACTTAGAGATTTTTTGTATTTTTACTTGTACTGTACTGTGACTACAGTACAATACAAAAATTAGTACAAAATTCAAAAGACCTAGAGAATTTCCATTATATTGTACTCTGAAAAATTGTATTGTAAAACTCCGCGAAATAGATGCGTCAAAAATTGAGACAAATCAACTCATGATATACGAAATGAACCCCCTCCCACAAAGTGTGTATAAAATGTTCAAAACTACAAATTCGACATTTTTGACCTTTGACCTCGTTTACAACAGTCACCAGGCTGATGTAAGCCGAAATGATAGTGATTTATGAACTCCCCGCCTCAAACTAAACACGACTGCAACGGTCCAAATAATAATTCAACATTTTTGACCTTTGACGTGGTCACGGGGTCTTCGTACGTTAAAACTGTATCGATTTCTGAAATTCTCGCCCAAGCCGAAGTCTAAAACATTCGACACTTAAATTTTGACCTTTGACCTCGTCCTCTCGGTCATGGGTTGGTCGGAGGTCAAAAGTATTGACGACAATGAATTCTCGGTGAAATTTCCTTTAAAATGACACCGCATATGAAAATTAAGGTAGAACTTTGCGTTTACTTCATGCCAAGGTGACCTTGACCTTGACCTCAGGGAGCCCATTTTCGAAATCGACCTAGGGTCAAAAATTAGTAGCGAAATAGCGAAAACGGCGTTAGATTATATTGAGGCGTTCAAGAGATATCCTACTTGCCAACGCTTGATTTTCCACAGTAGTACAAACTGAGCCCGTGTTTCAATTTGTCTACTGTAGACTGTAGAATTAGTACAAAAAGCTGATGACGTCATCATCTAGAGTCCACAGTACAGTCTACAGTCAGAGTACAAGGAATCTCTAACTCTCTAATATCTTTGAGCATTTTTACTGTGTTTTGCGTTGGTTCCATGCATTTTGTAAATAGGTGTATACTTTCGTGGGTTGTCCAGACTCGGTTGTTGAAGCTGCGTTAAATGGTATATCAAATTAGTACTAATATTAAAATATTAATATTAAAAGGGAAACAAATAAAATTTCAGCTGCCAAAGCTGCCTATGGAATAATTAATATGAAGAATCATAAGGGTGAACATCCTCGGCTTGGGGCAAGTAAGCATTCCATATTTATTTGCATGGTTAAAAAGATTACCTACACAGTCATCATCATTAAAATAAAGTTAGAACAACATAATTAATTTACTAACCTAAGTGGACGTTTGTCCCTTTGTCCCCGTGCGTAACGCAACGATGGAGGATTGCGTGAAGTGTGCAAAACGGTTGGGCTCCCGTCTTGCAGAAGAACTTGCAATTCCGATTTACTTGTATGGATTTGCGGCTGGGGCTGAGTATCGAAGAGCAGTCCCTCAAATCAGGGCAGGAGAATATGAAGGAATTGAGAAAAAGGCAAGAATTCACTTGAAATTAAACAAATACATGTTAAATTGTTTAAATTGTAAAATTTCATCTCTCTAAAGATCACTAAAGAGGAATGGAAACCAGATTTTGGTAAGACGTGAGATCTGCAAACCTTGGTTCTTAAAAAGTTAATAATAATTGTATACTTTCAGGCCCCGCATCATTTGTACCATCATGGGGTGCTTAAAATATCATATTATCGAACGTGGAAGTTTGTTTTAAGATACAAAAAGAACATAAGTAATTGAATGACACAGTGAAAATGATTTAACGCAGGAGCGAGTATGGTAGGAGCAAGAAAGTTTTTGCTGGCTTATAACGTCAATATTCTGTCCACTAAAGAGCAAGCTCACAGAATTGGTAATGCATAACTTGCATATTTTATATATGCACTTAAATGTCAATGTTTATGCAAATGTTCGTATTTCTGATTTGCCAACGAATTATACTCGAATATTTCTGTGAAGCTCTTGATCTGCGGGAAAATGGCCGTGGTCCTGGAAAAGAGGGGAAACTTAAAGCCGTTCAGGGTATTGGATGGTGGTTAGACGAAGCCAATTTGGCCCAAATTCTTATAACATTACTGACAGCGAGATCACCTCCTTGCATACCGTTTTCGAAGAGGTTTACATAAGAATAAATATGTACATATTCCGATTTGATTTGGTGAATATTCTGCTACAATTCGTTAAGATTCGTGATTTTGTAATGTACTGCAGTCCAAAGCAATTGCAGAGTCTTTGAATTTGTCCGTTGTGGGGTCTGAACTTGTGGGTCTGGTGCCACTCTCCGCATTACTTGACGCAGCAAACTTTTACATTCAACGCGAAAATCTAATGATTCTTGATGATGATCAAAAAGTAAAATTGGCTATAGATCGACTTGGATTGAATTCACTGTACTCATTCGATCCAAAGTGCGTTTAACATACATTTTTCCCCTTACGAATTTTAATGAATAGTATTTAGAATTGCTATACAGTTTTATTGTCTTCTGCATATAAAAACAGAGAACGAATTATCGAATGGAAGGTTGAATCATCCGATCCTCCGAAACCACTGTTGGATTTAAGACTGACACAATTTATTAAAGAAGTGAGAGCTAGAACTGCTGCTCCAGGGGAGGATCCGTTGCTGCCGTTGTAGGAGCATTGGTATGTCCAACTGCTGAATAAATGTGTCAGAACTTATTCTTTTTATACATGTCGTGTAATTATTTAGGGTGCTGCACTGGGAAGCATGGTTGGGCTGTTGACCTATGGCAAAAAGCAGTGGGAAGAATTTGATTCCACGATGCGAGATATAATTCCACCACTTTATGGAGGAGTGGACCACCTTCTGCGCTTCGTTGAGGCAGACACGAATGCGTTCAACAAATATGTCGTAAGTCTCAAAGTAGTGAGATGAGATCCCTATTAAGAGATCACTTTTAAGATATCTTAGATTTAATCTCTTCAATGAATTAAACATCAGCATATTTCCATAAAATTAGTCTAGACATTTAACCACTTGATGTTTCAGGAGGCAATCAGACAAACTAAGAATGCAGAATCTGATGTTGCCCAAACTGCGTTGCTGAACGCGATTAACGTTCCGATGGAACTGGAAAGAAAGCTGGCTTCCTTGTGGAGTGTTTTGGAAACAATAAGCAAAATTGGGAATCCTAACTGCATTTCAGATGTTCAGGTAAGTAAGTAACACGTAGTAATAAATCAAGTAGAGATTTGTATCATATCAATTCAAAATGAAATAGTTTTATTATCTTTTTCACAATATAATGGGTTACAATACATAGAAATTTCTTCACATTCGACAACCACAGACAGTACTTGAGATAATTCGCAAATTACTGTATCCTTACATGCTGTATTAATTAAATGGCTCCAGACGTATCAATTATTAAGAAGCATATTAATTCGTTATCTTAAGTTATGTTTGAATAGTAGAAGCACCGAAAGATGTGCAGGCCACGTATACTACTAGTCGGCAGTGTCATTAAAAAATGTTTCTAATTGGTACCTAATTAACGCAGGTTGCTGTGAAATGTGTGGAAACTGGAATATACGGGGCGCGATGCAACGTTATAATAAATTGCAAATCTTTGACGGATGCCAACCTTCGCAAAAGTTTGATTCAAGAGGCCAATTCACTATACAAAGAGGCACAACAGAAATGCCAACAGATTTAGACGACATTGAAACACGAAGCGAGGCATAAGTTTCTACATGTATGCTTGATTTTAAGATTTTGAATTTCTCTAAATGTATATCAGTAGTGGTGACTGTTGCATATGAACATGCATAATATGTGTGTTTATTTAGATAGACTCCGTGTTTAAAGCTATGTAATTACGGACAAAAAGATAAAGTGCAGAAAAATAAATTGTTTACTCAGCAGCTTTAAAATTACATAAATTAAGATAAGGAAAAATAAGGAATTTATGTGACATAAAAATCACGAGTCGCTCCATTCATGCCCGGTCATGCGAATAATATTTAGTGTTTTCTGTTTAATTAGCGCCTCTCACGCTCCCAGGTATCTAAATTTAGTTAGTCCCCTTATTCAAGCTAACCTCACTCAACCAGCAGACGCAACCACCGCAGCGAGTCTCCGCTTGCCTGAGAATTCAAAAAAATTTCGACAGACGGTGGTGTTTTGGTTGATTATTAGTTCAGCATATATACAAATTCATCCTTTAACCAATTGGCTAAAAAGTCCGATTAACCCAGATACTCAAACGTCGTATAGTGACGCAGTTCAGTTCACGGGAAATATCTCAGCAAAGTAAGGATCTAACGGAACTTGGGTCTTTCCGCACCACAATGTACTTTACTTTGCTGTTCCGCATGAGATAACAGCACAAAAAGTTTTCCTTCCCATTCTCATTGACAAGATGTGTTAAAATTAGAAGAAAAACTAACTCTTTTAAGTATTTTCTATTGGCGTAAGCGAATATAAATCTTCAACCTTCGCAAATTTGACTAAGTCCCCATCATATTTATTTTAGGGAGGTAAATATGTATTTACAGTTGTGCGGATATTATTTTCTATATTTTTATTGAGCATATTTTGCGTCACTTTCCCGTCTCTGAAGCAGCTGGCGTCTCCACATCGGAATCGACGCTAATCTGTTTTTCTCGACCTCCATCCGCCGCACCTCTTCCGCCTCTTTTCGTGCTCTCTCTGCAGCCTTCCTGGCCATCATTTGACGCTTCCAGTCCGGGATTGGAACTCCAGTCATATCCGTCGAGGGTACCTGGAGATATTCACATTATTTATTCAACAAGCGTCTTTATTGCTGTACATACATTCAAGTATTATATACCGTATTCCCCAAAACAAACAAGCTCATTTCGAGTTCAGATGTTAATTAGCACTTTTTATTAATAGCATATTGATGTATTACATGCCAAACCCCAAATTTGCACGTCATAACATGCGATTTTATTCCCTTTGGTCATAAGTCATTGAAGAAAAAAAAATCCGAAGGAAATCCGGCACAAATCACAAAATTTCAAATAAATTTCTGAAAAATCTTTAAATGCTTTTTAAACATTTCTTAAATTTTTACGCATATGTCTGATTTCTATATTAAATTAAGACCTCAAAATGAAATTTTAGAGGTTTGACTTGGAATCTATTATTATAATCCTTCACCATTACGAAATAGTGTTTAGTTTAAAATGAGGCTTGATGAACTGTTTGGGGAATACCGTGTGGAATGGAAATTTTAAATAATTGTTTCTGAAACCTCTGAAACAAATTGACGGGTTGGTACAACTGTTCAATTTCTTTTGAACTGCTTTTTCCTGTTCCTTTTGCCTTCTCTTTAGTTCTTCTTTCCACTCCCGAACCCCGCCCACTGAGCTGCTTCTGTAAAAATTAAATAAATTAAATGCTAAATTAAATATTTAAGACAAATTAAATTCTATTATTTTAATTACCTCGGCCAACTCGGCGATGACATCCGCTTTCGATACAGTATCCCCACCACCCATGATGCATGCTGTGGGCGACATGGTACTGGTCCTTTTCAGGGGCTCATGACCATTCTCCTGATGCTGCTGCTGACCGCCCCTTCCGCATGTCGAAGATGCGTCGGACTCGTCAGCGTCAGGAATTACTCGGCCCAGTGGCGGAGCAGATTTTGTCCTTGACATTGGCGTCTTCCTCAAATGTACCTTCTACAAAAGTTAGTTGCATAGTGTGTCAAGAGTAACACGATCTCAACTACATGCATACATTAAGCAATGACAATTTTTGTTGGACCTACCATTAATTCTTCTGCTTTAATCATACCACATCCAATTTTATTTGTCGAGGCGACAGATGCAGAAGAGGAGTTCCCGTTGGTGGTGTTGTTGTTCTCATCAATTGTATCGCTAGTAGCAGTCGACCCATTTGACTCTCTATTCATTTTCACAAACCCGTTGATCCTTTCAGGGTTAATCTCTTCAAACTCGTCTTCAGCATTGGTTTCCTCTGGAACTGACAACAACCCAGACGAATTATCAGAGGGGATGACCACTCCCAATGCTTTCATTGTCTCCTCAACTCTGGCTGAATTCTGTTGCTTAGTATTGCCGTGATTCCCACCAAGAAGGGTGCCCTGACTTGACTTTGACTTGTTTTGAATACTTCTTAAATACTCGGACGGTTTAATGAGTGCATCTTGTGGAGGTGTTGGAAAGTGTGGAGGGATGAAGGGGACTTTCCCTGGGTTCACAGATGGCTTGGTCGGGGTCAAGGGGACATGCTGACTACTTTCCTCGCAGCTCTTCTCCTCACTCGTCCCTCCTCCGTGCCCGTTACTACTGTTCTCGTTTACCAGTGGGGGAGATGAAACAGATCGCAAGAGTTTCCTGGTCTGCTCAAAGTCAATTATTTTACCATTAGTTAATTCTTCAATGTCTTCGTAATCATTTTCTGGTTCTGGCTCGGCTGACTTGTTCATCTCACTTTCTTTGGGTATATTTGGCAGAGGACAGGAAAGTTGTTTGGGGGTGGTGTCGGACTGTGTGTGTAAGGGTGGCATGGGCGGAGGGGGAGGAGGAGGTGGTGGCATATTATTTGCATTTACTTGATTTTTCAGTTTTGTGGTGTCACCCCCCGGAACCCGGTTATTGTTTGAGACGAGTCCATTGGGACTTTCTCGCTTACAAGAAGATTTCTCTGTCTGGAATTTGCTAATACATTCTGAAATGGTTGTGGACATGCCAGTCTTCGACCCTGCTGGGGGTGTTTGTGGGGGGATGATGTTGACGAGGACGAAGAAGACTCTGCCAATCCGACCTTGAGCTTCGGTGTAGACTCATTGCATGGGTCGGCAAAGTGGTGATGGTGAGAATGACTCGAGTTGACGGGGCAGGAGCCATGATTGTTATGCCCTTTCCCACGACGACCTTTTGTGTCTCACTCACCAAATTTTCTGGGGATGTAGAAAAAATGGGGAACTGCTGGCTAAAGTGACAGTCGACCCTTGTCGTTTGTGATTCGATTTCTTTAGAATCCCTTTTCCAACCTCTGCTGCTCCGCTGTTGCCAAAATCAAGTGTCACAGGAGAAGTGGGAGTTGCGACTGAAGGTGGGTGCAAGTAGAATGGGTTGGGAGATGCTCCTATGAGGGAATTGGTAGAACCATAAGTTCCAGAAGTTTGATAATCTGCGAGGGTGAAAGTGTCTGACACGTCCGACTTGACGAGGGTAGTTTCATCTGAGGTAGAACATCCACAAGAAACGGCTGAGGACGAAGAGGGGGACAAGGAGGGGGCACTCGTGGAGGCCGAAAGGCTCGAGTTTCCACTGGAGGAGGCACAATCCCCTGGACTTGAAGAGGTGATCTTGTCAGGATTTTCTCTCTCAACGTGCAGGTGACTAAATGGCTTGTGCTGCTGGTGGTGATTTCGTAGATTGTGGTTGGACGCGTCACTAAAACTGTAGTCGTCAACGATCCCAGTAATAAAGTCACTCGTTGTGTCCTTCTCAGAAGTTTGAGTTGTTGACCGCCGACTCGTTTGGGACTCACAGTTATCGTTGTCGGTAAGAAT